GCCTGCTGAAAGCAGTTAAATAGTTGCTGTATGTGTCTGTGTAACATCAGCTCTCCTGTGCTTGCATGTGCGGGTGGAAATAGTATAAAGTCAGTCTGTTTTTACTGGGTTTGACAGGGTATCAAAGACATCCTAATGTAAAACATTTTGAGAAAGAAGTACGCCATCGTAACTGGTCTTTTCTCCCAACAGGAGTATCCTACGTACACAATCCTTGGCCAAAGTCAGTACCAGCCATGTTACCCAAGCTCCGGCTTTGGAGTTGTAACACCAGCAGACAGCAACACCGACAGCGCGGCGTTGGCGACAGCCACGTATCCGACGGAGAAACCCGGCGCCCTGGCGCCCGCGCGGCCGCTGCAGAGCCATCCCTCGGGTAACGGCCGCGGTCGAGCAGGGGGCTGCAAACGCGCGGCGAAAACTCTGCAGAAACGTGATGGGGCCTTGGCCTGCTGGCCTGGGGGTGACACTTGCTTCCTGCTGGCAAAGCCGTCACACTGACATTCAGGGACTTACCACAGGGCAGCCAAGTGTATTCATTGGAAGTCTTACAGTACCGTGATTTGGAAGACATGGGCCATAGGATATATATATGCTCCCCAAACACCTGGTACCTGTTGGAAGTTTTCAGTTCTGTTGTTTCAGGAGTTTTGAGGAATAATAATGGGAGTGTATTCATTGGAAGTCTTACAGTACTGTGATTTGGAAGACGTGGGCCATAGTATATATATATATGCCCCCCACCTCCTCCCCAAACATCTGGTACCTATTGGAAGTTTTCAGTTCTGTTGTTTCAAGAGTTTTGAAGAATAATAATGGATACAATTAGATTTCAAAAATGATCTGCTCTTTGGTTTTGGAAGTGGTATCTGCATATCCTTTTTTTGCCACAAGTGATTATGTCCTACAGCCACTCCAAAACAGTGTCTTCTATGTCTAAACTCACCTATTCCCTTGTGATGGGTGCGTGAGTATTTAGTGTGTGCTGTAGGTTCTTGGTTTTTCTTGGCTGCCCAGATTGACCCCATAACTGGATAGTTATATGTGCATATTGCTCTCAGCTTATCCTGGTGTTGTTATTTTCTTAATTCCTTTAATTCCTATGGTATTTTCTGGGTTTGGAGTCCATGCGGTCTGTGGTGAGCAGCTTCCTCTGAATATGGGCCATCTTTGCTGCTTTCAAGGCTTGTCTCTGAAAGCTGGACTTTATCTGCACGCTGCTTGTTAGAGGCAGATCCCTCTTGTCTGTCCTGCTCTGCAAATACCTGATATTGCCTTCGTGACATCCACGTTTGTCAGCACGTGACAGAGTTTGAGTGCATTGAGCCCTCTGCACAGAAAAGGAGAGTTCCAGCTGCAGAATTGCCTTTTGGGAAAGCTGCTGGTCTCAGAACAAGGTGCCTGCAGATGCCGGGTTTTACCCCTAGTAATAATTAACATTTATTAATGTTAATTAACTAGGGCCATATTCCTAGCATTGGAGCTCTTCTACATGCAGAATTGTCAGACACCAAGGGCTTTCCCTGGCACTTCTGAGAGTGCTGCCTGGACAGAAGTACTGGGCAGGCCACCAGCTCCAACTGGGCTTTTCCTTCTTGGCTGGTAGAGTTTGGGAGCAATTCCTCCTATCCAGTTCCTACAAGAGCTGTGACACGTTTCTGTGTCAGAACCCCCCAGCAGGTCTGAGCCCTCCGTTTCCTTGGGGTGGGAGGTGGTTGTCCAGGTCTTGCTAACCCACCTTGGCTTGGTGACCAAGAGACCCATTGCCAGGGACAAGGAACAGTTGCCACCTCTTAGATGCCCTCGACTGTTGGATGCCAAAAAGGGACTTTCTGCCAATGAACAACCCACTTAACTGTGTTTTGGCAAGATATTGTAGTGCAGCCCATACATAAGGGTGGTGCCATGTCAGCTCCTCGCCAAGAACGCGGAGCCTCTCTGCTCTCACATCAGTCTGTCTTTGCTGTTATGACAGAAGATTTGATGGGTGGCCAAACCTGTAGACACAACATCTTACTAACAGCAGAATGGGCTATGGTTGTGTATGATCAGTACACTCCAGATAACTTCACTCATTGACTGTTGTTTCAATGTTAATCAAAAGCTGTTTTGCAGTGAAGCACTAGTGAGCAGTGTATGTTGAGCTGAAAAGAGCACATGTTATAGAGGGTTGCTGGACTCAGAAAAGATGCTTGACTAGCCCAGGAAATCTGGGAAGGAAAGACATTTGTAAAATATTTCTTTTGCTCTAAAATTCTAGATTGAGAGGTTTTGATGCTCTCCAAGGAAATAATAAAAAACAAAAAAACAACAAAACCAAAGAAAACATCTGCAGGGTAATGACTTGTCTAAGGGATTAGAGGCCCTAGGTGGTTGCAAGGAGCTCTGTCTTTGGCCCTGTATCATAGGCAGGATACAATTAAGTAGCTCTGAACTGGCAGGGCCTTAACTGTGGAGACAGATGTATTTCAAAATGGGGGAGCAAGCAGATCATATTTTATGTTCTAGTGAAATTTCAAATTCTTTTGCTTCAACGGAGCAAGGTAACATGTCCAGCAAAGGAGCTTTGTGGCCAAATGGTGTAAGCTTTGTGTAGACGTTTGCTTGGAGCCACGAGGAGATGAGAACTGTCCACCTTCTTTCTTCTAGGAGATGCATCCACAAGCCCCTCATTGTCAAAAGCAACAGCAAGTAAAGATTTAGATGAGCAGACAAGAAAAAACATCCCTGGGAAGAACAGGGGGAAGAGGAAAGCAGACACGTCCTCCTCACAGGACAGTGAGCTGGAGGCAAGTGGTACTCTTATTTTCTACCACAGTACTGCAGAATAGTGTGGCAGTACACGTCCTCTCCTCTTTCTTTCCTATGGAAAATGGAAGAGGATAATTTGGGAAACTCGTCTGACCATGTTATCTGAAGCCAGTCCGAGTTCTTCAGTGATCCTTAACAAACATCACTTAAGTGCTCATTAGAATCAGCCGTGTCCATGAGAGAGATGTCTGGAGTTCTCTAGTCCAGCCTTGTGCTCTGGGTGGGGACAGCACTAGAGCAGGGTGGCCACAGCTTTGTCTAGCTGAGCCCTGAGAACCTGCAAACTTGGCTTCCGTGTCTCTGGGGATCTCTCCCAGGGCTGCCTCACTCATATGGGGAGGAAGACTTGCCCTAACCCAAATCTCCCAAGTTGCAACTTTCCCCTTATATATCTGTGACTACTGATAAGAATTTGGCTCCGTCATCTCTGTGGTTCACATCCATCTTGACCTGGGCATCCAGTACTGCCTGCAGTGGCTTCCCCAGTGACAAATAGGGTGGGACTTCGTTGCAGGAGCTGGCCAGACTTCTCCATGCGCTCCAGCATGCGGTCCGTGCCGCTCACTGTGCGAGTGGAAGGTTGGTACTGCCCCTGGGGCCAGCTGGAACCTCCCGCTTCCAGCCTGGGCTGATCCAAGGGATTGTTCTACTCCCCATGCAGAGCTTTGCATTTGCTAAACTTCTTGTGGATTCTGTGGTCCCATTTCTCAAGTTCTGTATTGCAACTATTTATGACAGCAGACAACCCCTCTAATTTATCTTAGTAAAGGAATATCTGATATATACTGGGGTCGTCTAGCAGATTCTCCCTAGATCACAGCCTTCACAAGCTGATAAGTTGGCTTCCTTTCACCCAAATGGGGAACTTTTACCATACCAAGACTCTGAAGATCGTTAACATTCTGGATTTTTGCTTTTATATCAGTAAAATCAAGAGACACTTTTGAGAAAGTTTTATCAAGAGAGTTTTGCTCTTTGATCAAGAGAGTTTTCTGTTATTACACAATATATTACTTACCCCAAATATGAACTCCAGTGTTGCACCAAAAGAGTTCAGTTAATATGTTGTTCATTTCTGCCAGAAGCACCCTGCAACTAAATACAAAACGAATCCCCAAACTGGCTCGTTCAGGGTATTTTAGTATTTTGAATATCTCAACTATAACCTACTTTTTTTTTCTCCTCAGCGAGTGTTTCTGTGGGATTTGGATGAGACCATAATAATCTTCCATTCACTTCTCACCGGGTCATATGCTCAGAAGTATGGCAAGGTAATATTGTCTTTTCTGTGGAAGAAAAAGGACTCCTCTCTCTCATGCAGAAGTAAACACTTTTAGGAAAAAGAATAGAAAATTATATTTCGGTTTAAATGTGTATGGAGGTGCTTATAACTTTTTGGCCATCTGGTCCGGAGGATATTAAATTTGGCACGCTGGAAAACTAGGAAGATGGAAAACGGGAAACTGGAAAAATATGAGTATTGTAAACACTTCCAATCTGATAATGCAGGTCTTACAATTTCAAGTCGTCTTGATGATCTTTGGAAAATAATGAGGTCATAAAGCACAGTGAAAATAAGTATTATTTTCTTCTCTGAAATATTTTGAGAAATCTCTAATGCTTTGTCTGGGTTGTTCCTGACAATGCATCAATCCATGCCATTGAGTATTGAAGTGTTTTGTTAGATTTTGAGTCAATATACTACCAGAATGTGGATATTTTGATTCAGTTGCTTAAAACTTTAGAAAGATTTGAACCACTGAATGAGCAGTGAAAGCTCTATGCAACTGAATGCATCAGAATTTTGTCACAACTTCTAGCCTATAGCAAAGGTGAATTTACATTTTCTTTCTCTCTCTCCAACTTCCTCCCTCCCCTCTTTTTTTTTTTTTTTCTGTTTTGCCAGGATCCAACTCTAGTGATTGGCTCAGGCCTGTCTATGGAGGAGATGATTTTTGAAGTAGCTGATACTCACTTGTTTTTCAATGACTTGGAGGTATGTGGCACATGTTTTTGAAAGGCAAAACGAATAAAATTACCTAGTTGAGTTACAGTGTGAGGGTTTGTGGGGGTAGATGTGCTTCACAGCTACTTAAGAATGAAACTTAAGAGCATCTCTCAAAACTGAAGAGGTTCCGTGCACAGCTGGATCACAGAGGTGTTCTTTGTTATCCAAAACATGAGGCATAGCATTAGCATCCTAGAGATTTATAAGGCCGTGAACTCTCTTACCTCTCTTACAGATTCCTCCTTGTACCTATAGGAGTAACACGAGTGGGTACATTGTGGTTTCCTTCTGGACTGGAAAGCACTTTGCTTTCACTGACCCTGCTTTGAAATGGAGAACTGAGACATGGGGGTGAGGGTGATCTTGAATATGTCAATTCTCAGAGTTTTGGCGAAGCCAGGAACAAAATCCAGTTTCTGACACCAGAGAGCATAGGTGATGCTGACTGTGACACAGCTCTGAATGCTGCATGTCCATCAAAAAGCAGGAGGACACTGTAACACTGAGGAGATGAGGAGCAGTCACCATTGACTCCCAGTATCACCAGAAACAGTCTGTTCCAGTGGACTGAATGTCCTAAATATGTTACAAATAAGGCTGTAGATTGTATTTGGTAATGGTAGACCAGGGACAATGCCAAGGTGGCATTATCTGGCAAACTAAGAGCTTCTATAAGACAATGATGTGATAGTTTTGAGGCAACACAGGAGAAAATCTTTTCTGACAAAGCAGAATTCACTAGCAAAGCGAAGTTCCTGATAGGGGAAAGCCTTACACATGCTGCACAGCATCACTCCCTTCAGACAAGAAAGTGAGGGATACCTAAAAAAGCAGGAGAACATGTAGACCCAAAGCAGTGCAGCTGCCTCTGCAGCACACAAAGTGGATTTCGTGACACTCTGGTCTTACTCAATATTCAAGTCCAGCAATATGGACACAGGAACCTAACAGAATGCACAGGCTTAGTCTTAAGCAGATAATGGAGAGTGATGGTTAAGGGTAGGTTCATCGCTGTGCAAATGCATGAGGCTTCTGTTAACGTGGAGGGAAACTCAAATGAATTTTTCATTTTAATTTTTTATCCTCTGTGGCTGTTTGCAGATGTGAGCTTTGCAAATGTGCTAGTGGAAGATATATATAAAGATATATATAGATAGATAGATAGATAAAGATATATATATAGATAAAGATTTATAGATAAAGATTTATATATATATATATATAAAGATACATATAGATATATATATCACTTTTTAAAGCTATAAATTTCACCATGTTTCTGGATTACAAGATTACAAGAGTGGCTTTTTTCTCTCTCCCCTTTTTTTTTTTATCTTACACAGGAGTGTGACCAGGTACACATAGATGATGTGGCATCTGATGACAATGGCCAAGATTTAAGGTGGTGTACTGAGGAATGCATGAAATGTGTAGCTGATACTATGTGCTCTTGGGAGGCACCTCCAAAACAAGTTTAGGAATGTGCTTAGGGATGGAGTGTTGGTGCTGTGCAGGGGACAAAACTTGGCAAGCAGCATTGGCTTGCTGAATAGTTTCTCTTTCAAAACCTACAAAAGGTTAAGACTTTTGGAATTACAATGTGAATTAAATTCCCCGTTGTCAAACATTACCCATGTGCTCAGTGAGTGACCTAGTTTAATTCTTCATTTATGTGTAAGCAATCACCTCCCCCAGCCTGACCAGGAAAAGGAGGAGGTGCCTGGAAGTTCCCAGTGGCCTCAAAAGTTGGTGACAGTCAGAAATTGTCACTTCACATTAACTGTGCTCCTGTGTTTGTAGGTGGTCTGTCACGCACCAAAGAAATTGTGCAAATCTGTATAGAGCTTATTGCCTCACAGCATCTTCCTGTGGTTTTGGAGCTTCACTTTAGAGAAGCTGAACTTTTCCTCCCAGCCTTGTATTTGTATTTGAGATAGTATTAAAAGAAAATGAGAATGGCTTTGCCTTCAAATGAGGGTGAGAGCTGTTTGGTGACAGGGATGTCACCAACATTGGCATTTATGCTATTGAATTCTTTAAATGTCATTGTTGACAAAAACAAGGTTTGGGATATTTGTGTCTCCAAGGGATAGGCCCGTGACAGTGTTTACTTCAGGCAGTCCAAGTTCCACCAAAAGGTCTATAGGATGAGTGTGGCACTGTTTCTAGTGGCATTTGTGTGCACAGAGCAGGGACTGCCTGCCATGTCCTTCAGGAAAGACCGAGCAGCAGCCTCAGGTGCAGATTTTGTCACTGGTACAGAACTTTTCCATAGCATTGCCATGTAACAAAAGAAGACTGAGGGGAAAAAGATTTTAAAAGAAATCTGATACTCAAAAATAAAATATATAAAGTAGCTCTTTCAGGAGGCAGTGATGTGAAAACAGATGCCCTTGTATATGTGTTGGGAAACTGTCCTGGTAGACAGGATAAGGCAGTCAAAGAGGTCACTGTTGCTCAATGAGCGCCCTTATCCCTGCCGAGACCCAGCTCTGTGTTACCACTGCCCCCTGAATCAGCTCATGGGATCCCCTCGTCTGTGGAGGAGAAAAGAATATGGGGCAAAGGGAATGTGGTGGAGCAAGTCAGTACTTAAGTCAAAAGTATTTGAGTAGTCCAAGAGGGAAGGAAGCTTTTGCAGTGGATGATGTGAAAGGGGAGTAGAATCAATGCATTTCAATGCATCTTAAGAGATTCTGAACTGTTTAGAATGAGCAGCCAGTGTTGTGGATTATTAGAGCTCACTGAGCAGAGAAGCAAGTCTTCACTGCAAGCAGTGTAATGTTAGTTGTGCACAGTGCCTCTCCTAGAGCTTTTCTGGCTGCTCTCAGAGCTCGAGTCTGCAACTCAGCACGAGTGGAGCCATCCAGCTGCTGTTGCACGTATAACAGATGTGGTTTTCTGAAACAGCAACTACAATTTCTCCACGGACGGCTTCAGCGGCTCAGGCAGCAACTCGAATCACAGCTCCTCGGTCGGCGTCCAGGGCGGAGTGGACTGGATGAGAAAACTGGCATTCCGCTACCGCAGGGTACGAGAGATCTATGACAAATATAAAAGTAACGTTGGAGGTGAGTGTTCCCATCTGCTGATATCCGACCACTAAACACCGTTCCCCTAATGCTGAAAGAGCTCAAATCTCCGTGGAGTTTGAGAGGAACCTGGTTCTTCTACTTCTGAATTTAGTGGGCACATGCAGTTTAGTGGGCACATACAAGTCTTTCTTCCAAAACTGAATAGTAGTCCAGTGCTGTCTAAAAGTTATGTAGACAAAGACAGTTAGTCCTATTTTGAAGAGAATGATTTGGTGAAGAAGACACTGTCTGCTACTTTTTCATGAAAGACTCCATACTGCTCTTAAAACAGACCTAAATGGCTATGTAAGTCTGTACTCCAGTAAGCCACAATTACCTCAATTCTGGGAGGGAGCAGCATTGTTATTCCATGCTTTACGTGTGGTAATGATGGATGCAGAGTTTTTCAGGGCCTGTATAAGGCCACTTCACTTTCAGACAATGGTATCTAAAGGCATTAAAATGGGAAAAGTCCTCAGGCACGTGCTGAGCAGGAAGTCAGAGTGAGTTTATTCAGTAATTCCTTCCCCTGCTGTCTGTGCCCTCTGATAACATCTATCACTATGAGTGTTTGGGTAAGAAAAATTCAATTCATTGTGGGAATCCTAAGAAATAGTTTCAAATAGAGAAAAATGTCTGACCCATTCTCCAAAGGCAGAATCGGATTGGTGTCCAGACACATCTGTATGGCTGGAAGTCAATTCCTCCTGTTGCCTTCAGACAGTCTGAGGTTCCAGATTGCTTCAGTACAGTGTCCCTTACTGCAGAACATCAGCAACTGATAGACTGAGCTGTGACCATCTCTGTTAGATTTATTAACTCAATAAAACTGTTGTTGCCTCCTCTCCAGGCCTCCTTAGCCCGCAGAAGAGGGAAGCTCTGCAACGACTAAGAACAGATATAGAAGTGCTAACAGATTCCTGGCTAGAAACTGCGTTGAAGTCCCTGCTCCTTATCCAGTCCAGGTATGGAAGCTGGTAATGCAGGTGTGTTGCTTTCGCAGACGTTCCCCTCACTTTTCCATGTAGTTCCTTGGAATGGCAGCACAGCCCCCTGCTCTATCAGCTATTCCCTCCTTCCCAGCCTCCCTGCTGGCATCTCAGCAAACTTGCCGAGGGGGCACCCGTCCCAGCATCCTGGTCACTGATGAACAGGATGGAATCCGGTCCTGATCCCTGGGAGACACTGCTGGCTACAGGCCTCCAACTCGGGCGCAGAGCTCTCCCGTTCGGGCAGTTTTCAGTCCGCCTCGCTGCCTGCTCATCCAGCCTGTCCTTTATGAGCTTGCCTGGAAGGATGTTATGGGAGGATGTGGTGAAAGCCTCACTGAAACTGAGGTAGCATCCTTCGTATCCTTGGATATGATATCCAGGATTATCTGCTCCATCCCTTTCCTGGGGTTTGAGGCTGCCTTTCCTGCAGTTCCCTGGCTCCTCATTCTTGCCCCTTTTGAAGACTAGAGGAACATTTGCTTTATTCCTGTCCTCAGGCACTTCTGATTCCCATGACCTTTCAAAGATGATTCAGAGTGGCCTTGCAATGACACCAGCCAGCTCCTCAGCACTTGTGGGCGCATCCCATCGGGGCCCGTGGACTTACGCTTGTCCAGTTTGCTTAAGTCATCATTTAAGTCATCAATCACAACCTCGAGGCTGTGATTTCCCACTGCCTCCCACCACCTCTCAGACTCCAGCCAGAAACCCCAAGTCTTTGAGCACTGTGAGGAACCGAACGCTGCGGCTTCCTCTGTGATATTGCACTTGCTAGGGGCTTATCATCTTCTCTTACACTCCAGTGATGTATTTCTGAATGAATTTAAAGAACTTTCTGTTCTTGGAGATCTCAGAGCAGCCCTCATTTTGTCAAAAGAGGCTGATATTTTTGGGCTCATGTAAATTGCTGCCACCTTAGGCAGTATTTGCTGATTTATTTTTCCTGTTTGAAAGAGCATTTTCTCCCCAAAAGCAGTTTTCCAAAGTCCAAATGAGTCACTTCCCGTAGTTCTTCCTGACCTTGGAGAAAAGCCTTTGTATGGAGACCTCCTGTGGTGTTCTTCAGCCAGTGACTAGCATAAATTCATCTGAACAACTGAAAAGAGAAGGTCAGAGTGGTAGGAAAGGCTCAGCCTCCTCTAAAAGACACAAAGTGCAGCTTGCAGGACAGAAAGGCTGCTTATGTACCTGTGTAAGGGCATGATGGAGTCAAAGGAAGACGTTGTCTGTTTTTTGCTCGAAGAAAAAAAATCAAAATCTTGGCCTAAAAAGGCTCTGGAAAGGAAGGAAACAAAGTGTATGGTCCTTCGAAAAGCAGAGCAGCTACCCAGAGTCACCCTTTGCACCACTGGATATGGCTATTCTTTATACAATTGTGTTTTTCTTTCATTTCTTTTAGAAAAAACTGCGTGAACATCCTGATCACAACCACCCAGTTGGTGCCAGCTCTTGCCAAAGTTCTCCTGTATGGATTGGGCGAAGTGTTCCCTATTGAAAATATTTATAGTGCTACAAAAATAGGTAAGGGGTTGTGCTGAGTACCTAGCACTGAGGCATGTTGCAGGTTAGCTGAGATTTTTATGTAGGAAACAGAATTTTGGCAGATGAGCTGCCCCTTGTGGTTGCTGTCATCCTGCTGCCCATGTTAAAGGTGATAGAGCTGGCCTCAGAAGTCAAAATGGGTGTCCCTTCATCCCAGGAAGACAAACACGTGTTCTTTTATTGGGGAGAAGGGAGACAGTTCAGCCCTCCGTCTTCCTAGGAGTGATTTTAACAGGCTTGTCTTTTGGCAGGTAAAGAGAGCTGTTTTGAGAGGATCGTGTCACGATTTGGGAAGAAGGTCACCTACGTGGTGATCGGGGACGGCCGCGATGAAGAGGTTGCAGCCAAGCAGGTGGGTGTCTGAATCCACACACCGGGGTGAGGGGGGATGCAGAAACAGCAGCAGAAACAGCCTTTTTCTGCAGGGACTCTGCAGGGCTGTCCCCTTCAGGCCAGGAGGAGCAGAGGAGACTTTGCCTTTGATGCAGGAGACATCTTTCACTTTGTGAAGATGGGGAGTTCTCTCTCTCAATGGTTTGATGTTTGTTTTGCTCTCGTTTAGGTTTGTAGTCTGCTAGTGCAGCACTGTCCTTGTAAAACAGTGTCTTGATGTTCTCTCAAAATCAGTTTAATCCAGTTTCTCTGAACCACTGAATGCGCCAGGACTCAATTGCCAGCAGTCACATCAGTAGACGACGACGACCATTGGTCTGAATTACAAGCCAGAAGCAAAGAAACTGGGCAGAGCTGAGCAGCTCTCTCAGTGGTACTAACTGAAGGCAGGGCAGCACCCAGACTGCTGCCAGGACAGGGTCCCTGCTGGCTGCATCCTGCCCCGTGGCAGCGGAGTCACTGCCCAGATTCCCTGTTCTCTGGGATGCAGCACTGAGGTGTCCAGCACGACTGGGCAGAGCAGCTGCAGTGCCAGGGCCTGCCGTAAGCAGAGGCGCGTGTGGGACAGGCTGGTGTTCCAGCGTGGCTGGACACGTGCTCACCACGGGATTTCACACAAGGTTGTGTTGCTGGACTCCACAGGTTAACTCTACTTCCACTTAGCTTTTGGCACTTCCACGTAGAGCTTTATCACTCTGATAAAACCAACTTTGTCGTCTTCTTGTTACAGCACAACATGCCTTTCTGGAGGATCACAAATCATGCAGACCTCGTGTCCCTTCACCAAGCCCTCGAATTAGACTTCCTGTAAGAAGCTGGAGTGTTGGCGTGACTGCAGCTCCTGCAAGCCCTCGCTAGCACCAAAGATGCAGAAATCTCATGCGTTTGGGGACTCATTTCTCAGCTTGATGAAGAAAACGTAGCTAATGCAAACTGTACAGTAACAGGTGACACCAGGTCATTTCCTCAGGAGCACAGGCCCTGTCAGGTACCAAGGTGTCGTGTAAAGAAGCACTGGACTCGTTGCTTGTCTGAAGAAGAGGCTCGTGGAAGCCAGCGGAGTTCTCCTATCCAGAGGGGTGATACAGTAGTGGAAGTTTTTGTAAGACCCTTCTCCTTTCTAATCAACTTAGTTATAGAACCCAAGTAAATACAAAACCTTATTTTTATAGAAAAAAAAATACTGTTGGCAGAGCTGAACCTCCCTTGTTTCACAAAGCCAAAAAGAGCTATTGTGGGTTTTTTTTCCATGGGAAGTACTAATGAAAATGTCAAAAATACCTCTATTGCTGTGAAATGTGTCCTGTCTCCTTCCCCAGGTGTTCAAAGCAGTTAATTTATTACAATTTCCTTACATTTTTTCCACAGCATGGGATTCCTGGAAAATAGAGAAGGGAATGTCTCTGGTATGCGTAGTTCCTTATGGAGGAAAGTACTGGGGTTTCTAGTTATCCCATTGGCTTCTAGTCCATATGTCACATTGCACATGGCCTCAAGCCCTGTTTACAAGCTGGAGATCATTGAATTCCACCTCTCCATGACCTGACCGTAGATGTCGCAGATTTTCCCTGCAAGGGAAAAGGAAAACTGCCTGTGACCATGACATGACAGAGCACCATCACTGACAGTGCTGATGTGAACTGTTGGCCCTGGAATAATTCAAGAGGGAACGGAAGCCTCACAAATATTGTCAAGAAGGGCATGGCAATTAACCTTCACCTCTGCTTTCCTCATTCCATATGTGCAAGCGAGTTCCTTTAAGTAGAATCAGGTTCAATTTTCCTTGTATTCCTCTTTGCATTAGCCTAACTACATAGTTAGAAATATTTAAAAGGAAACCCTTCTTAAGAGGGACTTAATTTCTTAGGACACTGTGACTTGGCAGCCTGGAGCACCCTGGCCATAGGACTGATGGTTACACTGATCTTTCTGCTGCCGTCTCCGAAGAAAAAGGCTGGAGTTGGTGCCCCAGCAGGTTTCTGTGCAGAGGACAACCCGGTGCACTCTGGTTGTCATGCTGAACCAAGCGCAGCTGCCCCCAAACCATTCCCGACATCTCGTCCCGTGGCGGGACGGCTCCGGAACGCCCGGCACTTTGCTCTGAGGAGGGTGTTGACCCAGTTGGGCCGTGTTTGCCCTGTCTCATGCTGTTCATGACTGCGGTGACTCCCCGCGGTGCTGGCAGCCCTGCAGGGAGGAAGGGCTGTCACTGCACGCAGGCCGGGCTCCCTTCGCTGCCCGGTGCTGGTGGCCGGTGTTTGTGTTCAGGGGTCTCTTGTGCTTTCCCTCATAGCTGCAGCTCCCCTCACTGGCCCAGCAGTAGCCCCTAGGGGCTACTAGAGACCCCAGAGCCACGGGCTGGTTCCTGGGAGGACCCCATAAAGGCTGGTCGTGGTGCGAGTCCCAGAGAGAGCCGGGGAGGAGGCCGGTCGTGTGAAATCCCACCAGCACCGTGGGGCTCCCCAGAAGATCAGGACTTCTTTGAAGTGGCAGAAGTCCTTGAAGCCTGGGCTGGTCTTGGAGGGTCCCCAGCCCACACAGACAGCTCCTCCGAGCATTCCCGTGTGCTCATCCCACCTCCACAACAGCCTCTTCAGAGCAAGTGTCCCGGCCTCCACAAGCTTCCCCTTGGGATTTGAAACCTGTGCCTTATCCTTTCAAAGTTTTAAAGGCAAGATTTTAGCTCGGTGTGATACTATTGCAGCCAGTGACATTTCATACTGATATTTATACGATGTCTCCTTGAATGTATGTAAAATACTTTTCTAAGAGGAGGTTGATGGTACTTTTTTTTTTTCTGTGTTTATGTCAAATAAAAGTTAACGTGACTATTTTATTTTTCCCCCTGCTGGCTGACTTTGAGGCTTTCCCCGTCTCTGAGGCGCCAGAAGGAGCATCTTTCCGCCAGGATTGATTTGCTTCTCTGTCTCTTTGCTCGCCCGGCATTTCCAGTCTGGCTGCGGTTGAACTGGTGACGAATCTGAAAAGCTGAAGGTCAGACTGGGGCCTGTGCCCTCGCCTTGAGCTTGGCTCCACTTAACTGCAGCCCTGTAGGGCTTAAGAGCTGGTCTGGTTAATTTTGTTGCCTCCAAGAGCCCTGCTGGAAACAGCTACGTTGGCCCTTGGTCCGGAGCATCGCAGAAAGCAGAAGGTCCCACCCGAGCCCTCAGCAGCGTCGTGACGTCGGCGGTGGGAGCGAACACGGGTGCGATACTGGCTGTGGAGCCTTCGACTGTTCGTGTTCTGTGTAATGGGAACTGTCCTATGAACTGGAAAAAAATAAAGTCTTTATTTTCTATAGTCGCTGCTCTGGTCTGTTATCTGCTGAGGCTGCAGTGCCTGTTCTGGACTTTGCTGCAGGGGGACCCACTGTTTCCTTCACGTCTGAGCTCCGCTTCATGCCCCACAGCTCCCAAATCAACCCCGTGACAGCAGCGTCGCAGGGCAGGTTTACAGGATGCTTGGGTGAGCACCTGCAGTTGAACCTCCCATCCCACAGTGGTGGAGCAGTGGGAACTTGATTCCAAAGTTCTTCAGTCGTAGATGTTGCTGAACATTTACTTAAGGGCAAGGAGAGCAGCGCGTGGTCTTTTCTGCCCTTGAGTGCATGTCCTCACTGAGGCACTAATGACGCTGCTGCTGGCAGGCATCAGGCCCAAGTCCTGAGAGGAGCCACACGCGGGACCTTCTCATACCAACACTGTCCTCGTTAAAGGCCAGGTGTGGTTCAACAGCTGAGAAGCAGCCATGGAGCACACTGGTGGCAGGAGCAGAGCCCGGCCCTGGCACCGGGGCCGGGGCTGCCG